GGGGGTGTTGTTGGGGTTATTGGGGGTTCTGGAGGGGTGCCGACGACCCCCGACCGGTAGGTGCCAACCGTCGGGGTATGCAACACTGGATTGCAGGGAAAAAGAAAAGAAAAGGAAAAGAAAAAAAGAGAAATTGCAAAAAATGACACTTACATTACAGAGACTTGGGTAATTTAATATTGGCTACCCCATTTCCGTCTCTCTCTCTCCCTCCTCCTCTCTTTTGTCCCTCCCTCTCGGCTTTCTCAATCATTTGCCTCTCCCTCTCTTCCTTCTCTCTCTTGTCCCTCCGTCTCTCCCTCTTCTCTCTTTTGTCCTACCCTCCCATGGAAAAAAAATTCGAAATTGCAAAAAATGAGACTTACATCACATAGACTAGAGCAATTTAATATCGAGTGCCTCCCCTCCCCGCCCTCTCTCTCTGTTTCTCTCTCTCTCTCTCTCTCTCTCTCTCTCCCTGCCTTCTCTATGATTTGTGCCTCCCTCTCCCCCTTCTCTATCTTTTGTCCCGCTCTCCCTTCTCTCCCCTTCTTCCTCCCCACTGCACCCTCCTCTCCCCTGCCCTCCCCATCCCTTTCGCTTTCTCCTGCCAGCTCACAGCATGTAGAATTCCTCTTCCTTCAAGAATTCCTGCCACTTCACTGCATATTACATGTGCAGAATGAAACGTGGAGAGTACATTGTACATACACAGTTAAATGTTGAGACGACATAGTACAGTCATAGTACAAAGTTACAAACATAGTACGTACATAGTACATGCATAGTTAAACGTCGAGTGTACATAGTACAAACGTAGTACATACAGTAAAATGTTGATAGCACTTAGTGCATAGTACAAACATAGTACACAGTACATACATAGTGCCTACATAGTAGAAACATAGTAGAAACATAGTAGAAACGTAGTACATGCATAGTACATACATAGTACAACATAGTACATACACAGTACCTACATAGTACCTACATAGTAGAAACATAGTAGAAACGTAGTACATACATAGTACATACATAGTACAACATAGTACAAACATTACATACATAATACATACCAGTAAAATGTTGAGAACACGTAGTACACAGAATAGAGCGTCGAGCGTACATAGTACAGACATCGTACATGGTACATACGGAATAATTTCATGAGAGCAGAAAGTACATACATTGTACGTACAGAGTAAAACGTTGAGAACTTGAGAGTGTGCAGCTTCTGCCCTACTGTCTACCACTTGCCGTGCATGGCCAGAGGAGCCCAAATCCAGGCTCCTTTCTTTCTTCGAGTGTTGGCTGTCAAGGGGTGGGAAGGGGGGTATAAATTGGTTCCGCGCATGGCCAGAGGAGCCCAAATCCAGGCTACTTTCTTTCTTCGAGTGTTTGCTGTCAAGGGGTGGGAAGGGAAGTATAAATTTGTTCCTGAAAGGCTAAAGGGGTTTAGACTTTAAAGCGGGGTGCATTATTTTTTATGTTGTTTTCTTTTTTATCTTCAATTCCGTGAGGAATTCTGATGTGACCCGCAGCCAAAAGGGGTCTGTATTGCAATTCTACACTTTTTTTTTTTTTTTTTTTTTTTTTTTGGTACTGGGGATATCCGGAACACTGCCCGGGGATTCATGCCCGGCTGGGCACCCAGGTGTTTATCTAGGCACAAGTTGGGTGTCCGGGCGCCCGTACAAACAGCCTAGGTTTAAAAAAGTGTCCGGTCTACCTTAATTTGATTTGTTATTTCACGTTTTCTATCCTCAATTTTTAGTATGGAATTCTGAAGCGACCCTCAGCCTAAACGTATAGCAATTGTACATGAGATCTATTTTTGATTTTTTTCCATATATTTGTGAGCAAGTTTTTTTCTGAAGTTTTTTTCTGCATTGTCCTCGAACCTCCTGGGACGTGGCTCAACATCTGGTTCGGCCGGGGCGTCTGAGTCACCAGAAGCAGCCCAGGGCGCCTGGCCTACCGTCTTCACCGGAATAGAATGCCCGGTCATTATCACTGTATCTAGACTGAAAGTTGCACCAAATACAGCTATAATGACCGGGCATTCTATTCAGGTGAAGACGGTAGTGTTCCACCGTACAGGTCATAATAATAATTGATTATAATTCTGAATCACTCTGAATTACCATGGGCATGTCAGTTTGACATTGTTTCTGAAGGACATCACCCTTTTTCTAAAAGAAGGGTGGAAATGGGACTCGAATAAGCTCCATAAATTTTCGAAAAATTCTTTAAGAAGGGGGTGGAGGGGGGGGGTGGTGATCCTAAAAGATCTAAAGAAGTAAAAAAAAAAATCATAAAAATTCTTTAAACCACTACTGCAGTACCTCCGGCAGGCAAAAGAAAGTCGGGAAAAGTGACCGTTTTCCCAAAATTCCGAAGTTTTCGGAGCCCCGCGGACGGTCAGCAAGCCTTTAGTTTTGGGACTTGTGGGCTCTATTGCAAAACAAAAAAAAAAAGTGAAAGAAGCAGCAGAGGGAGGCGGGAGGAGGGAGGAGGGAGGAGGTCGGGGAAGAGGCCGTGAAGGAAGTCTGCTCACACTGGTACTCCAAGGAACGCATCTATCAGTACTTTCATTATTGCTCGTCTGTGATTTTTCTTTTTCTTTTCATCCTCTGTTCGCGCCCTGCCAACGAGGCAGGGCGCATTACACGAAGGATAGCTGACAACTCTGCAACTTCGGGCACAATCTCACTTGTACTCTATATTCTGTATCCAGCTGCTTTCACATCCAAAGAGTATATTCTGTTTTTTTGCTGCTGCCGTGAATACAGCTCATGAAGTAAGGGCCGTTGGGAGGGCATGCTGTCATATGTGCCCCAGATCCTGTATCCAGCAGCTTTCACGTCCCAAGAGTATATGACTTTGTTTTTTTTCGTACTTCTGTTTTCTTTGGCGCATCCCGTGAATACAGCTGGGTGTAACTGCCCGTTGGGAGGGCATAGTCTCACATGTGCCCCAAGATTCTGCATGCAGCTGCTTTGTTGCATACTCGTGAGACACAGTCATAAGTGTGGCGCAGATTCCCAGAACCGACCAGATAATACAGAGTTAATACAAATACAGCGGAAGAGTTGATACCCATGGACTGACTCTGACCTGACTCAGACTGCAATCGAACACTCTCAATCATGCATCAGTGGTGTGAAAGCCCTGGCCTTGGGCATAGAAGAAAGGCCAGGGTCTGAGATCATACACGGACGAATGGAGGGAGAGGAGAGACGAAAGGAGGAGGAGAGGGAAGATGACATCAACTCAATGTTTCCAAAGAGAGTATCTTGAAATGTCAGAGGTAGAGAAAATCCGAAATGTCGCGAACACAGTGTCTCACAATGTCTCAAATATCGATATCACAATGTCAAGGTACATCTTCAGAGGAAGATGAAATCAGATCCCAAGAGTAGTCCTCAACCTACAGTCCCAATGTCGCTGTATCCAGTATCATCAGAATTTGTAACCATTCTTCATACTCGGAGTAGTCCTGTAGGAGAACCCAGGAGTAGACTTAGAGAGAGAGAGAGAGAGAGAGAGAGAGAGAGAGAGAGAGAGAGAAGGCAAGGCCTTCCTCCCTGGTACCTGGTACGGTAGCTATGGCGCCGCAGGGACTGGTGCTGGGTCGCGGGCTGGGCCGGTGGCTGTCGCTGCTCCCAATGCTGCGCTAGTTCCTCTCTGCGGCTGAGCTCCTTCTCTCCTCGCGGCTCATGGTAACGCTGCAGCGCTGCGCTAATCCAGCTAACGCTGAAACGCTGCGCTAATCCTGAAGACTAACCTCCTGTCTACTACTAACCTACCTTCTGTAGACTGGTACCCGACTAATATAGTGCGGGGCCAGCCCCAAGGCTGCTGGTACCTTGAAAGTGGCGGCCTAACTTGGCCGCTGAACTGTGCCACCGGTAGGTCCTATTGCTGGACCGGTACCGGCCTGAAACAATGTGACCGTTGGGCCTGTCTTAGACCCCTATACCTAGGCCTACTGGGTTTTACCTGAACTGGCGTACTCCTAGGTCTGCCTGGGCCTGATCTGAACCGTCGTACCCCTAGGCGTACCCTGACTTAGAGGAACCGGGCCCTAACTGGGGCCCGTGTGGCTCAGAATGCCACATGCTTTCACGTCCCTAGGGTTGTTCGTTTTTTTTTTTCTCCGTTGTTCTTTTTTCTTTTCTTTTTCTTTTCCGAAGAGTAACAGAAAAGAAAACACAATGGCACCCAGGCTCGGCAGATTTCGGTGCGCACTGCACAGTGAAATCCAGGGTCGGCAAAAACAGGCTCGGAGGTACTGGTGGTTTAAAACTTAAAAAAAAAAAAGAGGACCCTGTAGGCTTGTACTCTATTCTCCTATAGTTGTCATAGGTGAAGATGGCAGTCTGATGTTTAGCCTGTCAAATTCTGGGGTTGGAATTTTAATTTTTTGTTGTACACGACAAAATGATGGGGATTGTTCATCCTTCTCGTTTCTTTTTTTTTAATGATTCATTTGCGAGTTGTTGATTTTATTCAATGATGATTTGCAATCGTATCAAATTTTGACGTTCTGGTTTGCAGCTCAAAAAAAATTTCACCCAGTGGGCTCTCGAGGGCAGAGACTATGCAATTCAGGTATGTTGAACTCAGTCTGTACTTGGTGAGGGGTTCCTCAACACAACCCTCGCTTAGGGTCCAGTCAATCCCTTGGCCAAGCAGTGGGTTGTGTTGCTGCTTGGACTGAACATCACTCCTCCAACTCTCTGGCCACATCCTTCCTCAACCTTCCTCC